CGAGGGCAGGAGCCGCAGCCGGAGTTCGGGCCCCAGGAGCAGCCGCAGCAGGAGCAGGAGCTATGACTCAGGAGGCACCTCCGACAGCCTGCGTCGCTAGGGAGTGCCACCAACAGCTCCTGTGCCGGCATTGTCTCCAAATTCCTGGCATTCTCCGCTTCCTTCCCACCTACCGGGCCATCGATAGCAATCATCCCCGATACTGACGTGGTGGCAGTGCCGGGTCCCCTTTCCCCAGTTCGGAGTAAGAGCCCTCATGCGCCCGGTGCGGCCCCTTTGCCACCTCGTGGAGTGGGTGGATCAGTCCCAGCTCCCCCGGCCAGGGCTGGAAGAAGGGCCAGTGCTTTACAGAGGGTCTGTCACGACAGACCTGCTCCATCCTCCCCGACGTCCCCATCTCCCCATCGCTGCCGCTCTCCAAAGCCCTACCAGCTGGTCCAAAGGAAAGAATTCAGCTCCTTCTTCCGACAAACCAGAAACCAGCAAATTAATTTCTGTTGGAGGGAGAGACCCGGAATTTGCTGGGAAGCTTTGGTGATGAGCGGGGGTGACCTGTCCCCACCAAGGCAAATATCGGGTCCCTTGGGTCTCTCCTTCAGACTTTCTGCCCACTCTGCAGCAGCCCTCTTCCATGAGAGAATATTTATTTATTGCCGGTCAGCCAGTTCCTGCTATAAATAGAAGGCTAGAAATCCCTCCTGATGTAATTCCTGGGGAAAAATAGGCCATTCCCTCTCTTTCTCCCACCCTTTCCTAGCAGGTATGCATCATCTTTCGCAGGGTTGTTTTATCCACCCCAGCACCGTGACCAGCTTGCAAACAAACTGCTGAGGTCTGAGGCAGACGTGGGGCCGGTGGGGTGCAAGGCAGAGGGGAGCTGGTGCCACACGCTGCTCCGAGGGCCAGGCCACGGCATGGGAGACGGGGGCCGTGGGGCTCCCGTCTCGGAGGAACCCTCTTGCAGTTTGGGTTTAGGTTTTGCTAAAGGGAGTCTTGCCCTCGGAGCGTGGTGCTGGTGGGACCGTAAGGAGATAGGGAGATAGAGGTAGTGAGAACACACAGGGCTAAAAGGGCATTGCATGAGCCGGGGGACCCCAATTCCCCTTCCTTCTAACAGGCAGCGATTTTAAGCAGTGCCAGGAGGATTTCAGGACATCGTTGCTCCTTGAGACCCTCAGGCTTCCCTGAGACAGGATTAGCAGCTACAGCAGCCCCATCGCAGGGCCTGTGCCAATCTGCATCAGGATGCTCGCGCCCCAGTTTGTCGCTGGGAGGACGGAGCAGCGCAGGGGGACAGAAAGGGCCCCCCACTAATTGCCTCTTTTTCCAAGGAGCTGCAGGCAGCGGCAGGAGGGCTCTGCCTGCCTGGGCGGCCCTGGGGTTTTGTCTCCCTGCCAGGCCTGCCAGCCCAGCTGCCTGCGCAATTACTGTGTTTTGCAGGGTAACAAAGGCTTCTCCCAGCACAGGCTGAGCTGGTGCTGAGGAGTTTCTTTCTCTTACAACACCTGGGTGCTTAGAGACGCTAATTTGGGCTTAAGACTTCCCTCCCTCCCTTTTTCCATCCCCTCCCCTTCCATCCTGCATGATTATTAACGAGTTTGGGCTTAATGAGTCAAGGAGGTGTGTCATTTTAAGTGTCACAGAAAAGGGCTAAGTGGAGCCAGCATCTGCTGGAGGAGGAGAGGAGGTAGAAAGAAATGCACCCCCCCCCAGCTAAAGGGTTACCTACAGCCCCCCAGTCCCGCTGGCAGCAGGTAAAGGGGCAAAGCCGCAAGCGGAGGAAGGCCAAGTGCCATGTGGTGTCCTGGTGGAGCTAGTCGATCGCCTTAGCCAGTGTATAAATCTGTTGTCTGCTGGGAAGTACAGCAGCGTGGGGAAGTTTTATGCCAGGGTCCCTTTTTCCCAGTATCCTTCCTACTGCTGGTCCCCCTTGTCCTGTGCCTTCAACTCCCAAAGCCCCCCGCTTTTCCCAGTCCCTCATCCCCCGCCTTGCTCTCTGCAGGTAAATCGAGGATGAGGGTGGCCGAGGCCGAGAGCTGGGCACTGGCATGGTCAGTGGCTTGGTGGGACACGTGTCCGTCTCCTGGGAGGCTGCTGTCTAGGACACAGAGAAAAGCATTCCTGGTAGGACTGAGCAAACGCTCTAGGGCTGTGGTTGAGGGATCAAAGATGGGGTGTTCTTGCAGTGGGGTGCCAGTGCCTTCCCTCCTGCGCTGGCCCTGGCAGCAGCCCCGTGGCCGTCTCCTGCAGTGAACTTCCTTCTCGTAAAGGGCTGAAAACCTCCCGCTTCTTCCCCAAAGAGTCTCTCCCAGTTTGACGCTGAAACGCCCCGTCCTTCTGCTCCCTGGGAAGACCCGAAGGCAGCGATGGGAGCCCAAACCCCAGATCTACCAGTGTTTCAAGAGTCGCCTCGTGCTCCTTAACACCCCCTAACGCACACGTGCATCCGTAGCAAGGAAGCAGCGAGCCAGGAGGTCAAAAACTAGGAAAGAAAAGAAGAGGGGCTTTGTGCAACTGGTGTAAATATCAAACACAGCACTGACTTGAGTTCCTCGTGGCTGGGGACGGATGATGGAAGCACCGCATCAGGGTCAGCAGCACCCGCCAGCTGTGGGACAGGAGATGACTCCGAGGGTTGCGCGGGGCTGATGGCCGCTCTCGTACCCGTCCGGCTGATCCGTGCTTCAAGGACTGCCTCCGCTTGTACAGTCCGTGGCAGCTAAACGCTCCTGGGGTTTCCCGAGCAGACTTGCGTTGGAGTAAACCTCTTTATTTATTTATTTATTTATTTATTATTATTCTATTTTTAATTGTATGTCAGAATGAATGCAGGTGGTCACCGTTACCAGTATTTATTTATTCTATTTTTTTTTTTTAAACAATAAGTTATTTTTGGATCTGTTTGTTTGTGTGAATGTATCCATGCCGCTGTTCTCATGTAAATGTTTACAGCGCTGGCCCCTCCCGGTGAAGCGGCTGGAGGAGTGACGGTCACTCCTGCTGCTGACGTGTCCCTTTGTCTGCACTCTCCGGAGCAGAGCGGAGAGCGTGTGACGGACAGAGGGATGCAGGGCAGAGCTGTTTGTCTGTTTTCATGTTAAAATCTAGGGTTTCTCATTAAATTTGTGCAGGAACGCAATGGATGTGACCATAGAAATGGGTCTAGGACCTCACGGAGGTGACGGTGAGGGTCTGCTTGCTGGCCGAGCGAGGGGGTGTTTGCAGTGCTGCAAGGGGAACTCTGGCCCTGGCCCGTGCTCACGCCGGCCAGGTGCCAGCTGGCCGCCACCGCTGTTTCCCTTGGCTCCGCAGCCAGTGCACAACCCGAAACCGAGCTGCTCTGCACAGGCACCGCTGGTTTCCCTGGGAGGATGCCGTCGCTAGGACTCCCCTGCCGTGTTTATCGCTGCGCAATGACCCGCCCATGGAAAAACTAAAGAAATGAGACCGTGAGAGAGCGATCCGTGCTGAAGATGCTTGCAAAATCTAGCCGCTGGTGACAGGACTTAACCAAGTCTCTGTGTGTATGTGTACGTATATGTGCGCATGTGCGTATACGTATGAATTCCCCTCAGTGGTGGTATTTATTTTTTAACTTATTTAAGATTTTTAGTACGACCTGGAACGTCACCCTCCCTGTCAGTGGACAACTGGGTTTTCCGTCAGTTTGCGAGAAGCCCGTGAGCTTTTCCGTCTCTGTGCCTTTTGCCAGCGCTTTTTTTTTTTTTAAATGTTGTTTTGCTCATTCATTGCTTTTCCAGATTTTTGCTCCGCATCCGGCATCTCAGATTGCTGCTGGCACTCTCTGTAAAGAGCAGCATTCACCTGGTGGAAAGGCAGCTCAGTCATTTTGGTGTTGGTGAATCGCTGCTCGCATGCGGTCGGCCACACAAGGGATGCCCAGGGCTGGCTGCAGCCTCAAGGCTTCAGGAAAATATCTCAGCCATGCTCTGGAGACCCTATCTCAGAGGGTTTTGCTTTCCTCAAACACAGAGGCTCTTTCCCACCCATGATTTTGTTTCCATCCCGCAAGCGCCCCGGTTGCCTTTCCCTGGCAGAGCGCACATCTCAGCGCCCGCTCCCAAACGTCGCCCTGACCCCGGAGTCGGGCTGCTGGCTCTCCCCGTTCCCTGGACCTGCCTTGACTCTGGGCTCGTCCCACCGAGGGAGGCTCGTCCCACCTCTCCCAACCCCAGCGCTGGGGCCAGGCTCCAGAAAACCCAGCGCAATCTCTGCAGGTTTGCTGGAAAGCAAAGATAAGGGATATTTGAAAGCACTGTTTTTTCTTTTCTTCACGGGTTACAGCACTTGGTTGAGCTTTGCTTTATGTTGACCGCAACTTTTCTCTTTGTTATTTTGGGGGACTGAAGTTGTACCAAACTTGTCTGCAACAGCCAATCACTGTTATTTTGCTATGCATTGTACATATACTGAACAGGCTGAGAGGGCTTAGCCTCTATTTAATATTTATTTCTTCTATTTATTGAGCATTACTTTTAAAAAGCTATTTGGGTCTTGCTGTTGGGTCCGTGAAGGTAGGAGCCTTTGAGGTGTTGCCATATACCTTAAAGAGAGGTTATCGGAGAGGTGAATTACTGAGGCTGGCTGCCTCACGAAGGCATCTGGCAGACAAATTAGGCTCATTTGGAGACCAACCACCAGTGCTTTAGGGAGAAGCCTCATTTAGATGGAGATGAGCAAGGCAGGGGAAATTCCTCCAGCTTCTTGGACCAGCTTCTGTTGACAAATCACAACCCCTTGGAAAGGCGCTGGGCGTTCGGAGGTGACAGGCCGGCTGTGGCGGAGGACTTACCCTGCTCTTTGTCCTCTGTGCCACGTAGGGCTGCTTGGATTGCCAAAGATCCCCAGAGATCTCTGATCTCCCACCACTGATCTCTCTTGGCTCTCAGTGGTTATTGGGGGAAAGGGGGACTTGTCGCCCTTTCATCGACACGAGGAAGGGGATGGGGTTGAAGTGACTTGCAATGGTGTCTATCAGGAAGCAAGGACGTCCACCCTGCCTCATCCTGAGACCCTCATCCTCGTGCCATGTCCTGCTTTGCCCCCTTCCCTGAGCTTTGTGCCAGAACCAGTAGCTTTGCCTGGATGTGACCTCAGGAAGGGTGGCCGGGACAGGACTGAGAAGGTCCCTCCTGTCATCTCCGACATGAACTGGAGCTTGCTGCAGGCATCTACCCTAGCTTTAAAAAAAAGCATGGGATGTGCTAAAAATCACGACCTGCCCCAGTGTCGCTCCACCGACGCCGCAGCCATTGTCCTCTTCACCCGAGTGGGAGGTGTTTGTGCTCCATGGGCAGAGCTGCCTGGGCTGGCGGAGGGTGGACGTGGCTCTGGCATCGGCAGGCGAGTGCCCAGCGCTGGGCTATGCCCATGGAGCTGGCTGGAGCCATGGGGCGCTCAGCCTTGGGGCTATCACAGTATTTGTTTGAGAAAGGGATGGATTCAGGTGCCTACGTGAAGACTTTGCCTTTTAGTGTCCAGTGGGGTTTTAGTACCTCTTTACCAGAGGATAAATAATTCTCATGACTTGCTGCTATCTGGAGGTTTGCACATGCCTGGGAGGGTCTCCGCAGCACCGGTCCATCCGCCGTTGTAGCAACAGCTTCACAGTCAAGCATCCCACCTTTTGGGCTGTTGCCTAGAGAACAACACCCTGAACCTCACCGGCCCGGGGGCAGCTCTCTGCCTTCGAAACCCAGGGAATGAGAAGATCTAGAACAAAAGCCAAGACGGGAGAAAAGCCGTGAGGGAAACGGTGTCTCTGTTTTCTTGCCTGTTGGTCGATTCCTTACCAAATGATGTCGGTGCATCTGTTCATTTGACTTCATTGTAAAACTCCCTTTGCTCTCCATCGAAATGCATATTGTATTCTTTAGTCTTCCTGGGGTATTTGAGTTGTTAGCCTGGTTAGAAAAAGGGTTCCAATAAAGATTTGGACAGTACTTCCTTCTCATCGCAGCCCTGTTTGTCATGTTCCTTTTGGATCTGGCTCCGCGCAGTGGGATATTTTGGGTTGTTTCAGCTGCTCCGCAGGGAAGGGCATGTGCCTCCATGCCCAGCTGCCGAGGACCGGCTCCTCGGGGCACTGGCTGAAGCAAAAAAAGTTGTGGGCTAGGATTTCTGGCAGCTCTCCCATCCTTGCTGGGTCAGGCTTTCGCTGCCCTTTGCCAGGCGCTTTGGGTTCCCCCACCCTGTTCAGGCACTGGTAGCCCAAGCCAGAAATGCAGCCGTCTCACCATGGAGGTCACAGTTTGGGCTCGCCGGTGCTCTCCTCTGGGCCGTGCCCTTCCCTGCCTGTGCAGCCCTCGCTCCAAGCCCTGCACGGTGCTCCCGCACCTCAGGGTCCCCCCGCGGTCACCACCTGTGCACAATGGGGTGGTGGGGACTCTTCACCACTCCAGATGATGCCCCTCACACTGGGATGCTCCCCTGGACTGACCGGGAGCCCCATGGGGGAGCAGTGGCACTGGACCGGGTCCGCATGCTCTTCCCAATGGGGCTCAGATGGGCACCCAGGAAGGGTCTGGCCACAGCATGGATGGACGCTGGGGACATGGGGCAGCGTCCCCAGGTCACTTGGAGGAGAAGGGAGGCTGCGAGGCCGCTGCGCGCTCCCCAGAGCTGATGTCGTGGGGCTGGCTCGGCGGTGGGAGGCAGCCGGGAGATTTGGAGTGAGAACAGGAGCTAAATTGGGATGGCCCGGAGAGGGCAAGAGCCGGCAGGAGGGGACGTGTGACTAATGCGGATAAACAAGGCGACGGGGAGGATTCCTGGCTGGGGAGGGAGGATGACCTGGAGCTATGCAGGGAAACGTGGGACTGGAGATGTTGGGAGGCTCCTGGAAACACGACAGGATCGTGGGACTGCCTGAAACCTCCTTGGGGCCGTCCCCCTCTCCCCATGGGCCACTGTTTGCCCGAGTGGGTGCAGAGCTGGGTGCTGGGATGATCCTGCTCTCTATCCAAGGTGAGAGGTGCCCAGCTGAGCTCAGGCTCGGTGTGTGGCAATGTCCCCCAGGACACCCTGCTGTCACCCCCAGGCAGCAGGAGACCCCAGCCAGGCAGGGGCAGCCGGGCAGGACAAGGGGACGGAGGGGGATGCTCTGCCCCTCCGCTGGCAGCTGCCTCCCTGCAGTCAGGGGTGCTCAGCCAGCGCCTGGGGCCTCCCCAGGCATCTCCAGGTGTCCCCTGAGTCCCCAGGGAGACCCCCACGATGCCCAGGTGTTCCCCCAAGCATGGGGGGGCAAAGGAGCTGAGCACAGGGGAGCAACTCTGTCCTGCGCCGTGAGGCAGCTCCCTCCCCCAGCAATGCAGCATCGGTGCAGCGTGATTAATGCTGTTGGAGTGACCAGTGGCTGAATTGCTGCGCGGCCTGAGCTGCATTAAAGTCTTCCTGCTGTAATTAGTTCCATCAAGACTATTAGAAAAATTGCAGATGCTGGAGAGAAGGAGCGTGAGGCAGAGCCAGGAGGGAGGACGCGGCATGAGGAAGTGGTCCCGTATCCAGCATGAACCCTCATCGATGACATCACACCCTCGGGCGCATCCCATCGCCCACCCGAGCCATACCTGGACCACCTCCATGGGGAGCCCCTTGTTGCCACCAGGTACCCCCCCGCTTGCCCGGTCAGGGCCATGTCACCCGGGTGGATGCTTGCCGGGAGCTCACCCGCCACTGCTGCCGCACGTCTTCCCACGGCGCGCTGCCCGCTCCCTGCCGCTGCCCTGTAATTAGCCCCGCCGCCGCGCGGCTGTGATTACTGCCTCGCCCTGCCGGCGCACGGCGATTGCGGCAGGGCCAGGGCACGCGGTGTGGCGAGGAGGAGGAGGGCGAGGAGGAGGCAGGTGCTGAGCAGCGCTGCGAGGACCCTGCCCGCCTGCCACCCGGGGTCCCTCTCCTTCCCGCGGTTAGGGGACATTTCTCCGGGCCCAGCCAGGGAAGGCAACTGAGGAACTGGGGCTGGAGAGGGGCATCCCTTGTCGCACGGCTTTCCTCCTGCATCCCGCAGCCCTCCTCACACCTGCGCTCTGCAGGCAGCCCTGGGTGGCCGAGACTCTGCATGCTCCTGGCCACAAAAGGGGTCTTCCCCCAGCCCCAGCATCCCCCACGTATCCACCCTCAGGGTCCTGCCACCCTTGCAGCGCTGCGTCGGGGGTGCCACCAGTGACCCACTTCCCCGTACAGTGGGCTGCTCGGTGGCCCGGGGACACGTGGCTTTACAGTGCGGGGAGCTGCTTGGCCCAGCCCCACCGAGGGGGTATTTTTAACGGGTGACATTGGGGTGAAAGCAGCCGTCCCTGAGCTCGGGGGCTATTTTGGGCAGGCGGGCTGGGAGGGGGTGGCAGGGGCTGGGGCAGCTGCTGAAGTGCCATGGCCCCGCGGCAGCCGGGATCCTCAGGCTGGTGGGAGAGGTCAGCTGTCGCAGCCCAGATTCTCCACGGCTGTTTCATCCTCTCCAAAATACTCGGCTGACAGGGCAGGAATTGCAAAACACACCCCCCCATCTTCCCAAATCCGTATAAATAGCGCTCACCCGGCGGCTGGAAGGTTAGAGAAGTTTCTCGGCTCCGAGCTCAGGCATTTATTGCAGCTCTAGCCTGGGAGCAGCAAAGTCGCACATAAAGTGCTGGGGAGCGAGAGGGCAGAGATAAGCTTTATAATCTTGGGATATTCGTTGTGTTGGTTTTTTTTTTCCCTCTCTCACCGAGAAGTTTTATTTTCCTCTCCCTGGTCCCTGGGATCACAGCCAGACAGGAAGCGTTTTCTCGTGGCCAGAGAGCTCGCTCCGTCCTTCCTGCGCTCCTCCTGAATTGATTTTCTTCGTCATCCTTCACCTGGTGCCGGGGAAGGAGGGGACTCTCCCCGCGGCGCCCACCCGCAGCCGCGCGCCCACGTCCCGCCCGGGGTGGATGCGTCTCCTCCGGGACGGGCTCCCCAGGGAAATTTGCAGCCAGGAGCGGCCGCACAGAGGCTGAGGCTCTGTGGGAGAGCCCCGGGGACGCGCTCGGACCCCTCTGAAGGAAGCCATGGCCGACAGTCAGATGCCCTTCTCCTGCCATTACCCCGGCAGGCGCAGCATCCGCGACCCTTTCCGGGAGCCCGGCTTGACCTCGCGCCTGCTGGACGATGATTTCGGCATGTCGCCCTTCCCCGGGGACCTGACAGCGGACTGGCCCGACTGGGCTCGGCCCCGGCTCACCACCACCTGGCCGGGTCCCCTGCGCACCGGCATGGCCCGCGCCTCCACCATGGCCCCCGGCTACGGCGCCCGCTTCGGGGGGTACCCTGAGAGCCGCAGCCCCGTGCCCTTTCCTCGCGAGCCCTGGAAGGTGTGCGTCAACGTGCACAGCTTCAAACCTGAGGAGCTGACGGTCAAAACCAAGGATGGCTACGTCGAGGTGTCAGGTGAGAGCGAAGGCACCGGGAGGAGGAGGATGGGGCATGAAAAGCAGCTGGTTCTGCCCTGCCCATGCTAGCTCAAGAAATTGCCGTAAAATGCAAAAATCACCTTTATTTTAAGCCAGTGGCAGCCGCCCTGTGCTCGGGGGCAGGGCCAGGGTTGCAGCAGGGCTTTGGGGCAGCCCCACGGGTGGTTTGGGGGAGCCCCGGGGGGACCCGGCTCACAAGGCATGGTGGTTTGCTGCAAAAATGAAAAGGAGAGGCCTCCTTTGGGGTAAATCTCCCTGCTTTCTGCCCCGACCGTCCCGGGAGGCACCGCTGCGGGCGGTAGCACCCTGCAGGGAGCTGCCAAGAGGGGCCCCAGCTTGGCTGGGTTAATTATAGCCAGGGTGAGGCCGGCGCAGAGGGAAATTCCCTTTAAAGGGGCCGAGAGAGAGGCAGCTCCGGTGCTGGGAAGCAGGGGGCAGCCGCCCCACAGCCCCCACCCCAACCCAGCCCCGAGAGGGCCCAGCCTGGGGCCCAGCCAGCCAGAAGTACATCCTTAAAAATTCAATTAATGGTGGGGACAGTGGGTGCGGGGTGCACCACATCTGGGGTGCCCATGGGCACCCAGCCCTGAGCATCCCTTCAGCCCGGCACCAACATCCCGCATTGCTGGGGGCTGCCACGCACCATGGCCCTGGGTATTTATTTGGGGCTCACAGCATCGCAGGGGGGAAACCGCAGGTCAGGGGGGTCCGGGCAGCCGCCAGTGCGGTTTTAACTTCAGGGATGCTCCAGGCACAGGGACCCCCAGCCTGACAGCGCGGCGGAGGGGAACCCAGCCTGGGGAGCGGGACAAGGGGGGACGCTGCCACCTTCAAAGGTTTTATTACATCTGGGGACTTTTTCTTAAACCCCAGCTCTTGCCATCCTGCGAGACCCCAGGTTCTCACTGGAAATACAGGTGTGCTGTGCCCGGCATCTCCTTCCCCACATAGGAGAGGCTCCCTGAGCCCTCCCCAGAGGGAAGGGTTTGAACTGGGAAAGGGAAACAACTCCTCTGAAAACTTCCCTGTTGGGTTTTGTTGTTGTTTTTTGGGGAAAAAATAATCTCCCGGTGAGGTGGTGACGTGGGGTGTTGCCCTTCCCTGCAGGCAAACACGAGGAGCAGCAGGTGGAAGGAGGGATCGTCTCCAAGAACTTCACCAAGAAAATCCAGTAGGTACCAGCTGGCCCTGGGGCATCCCCCTGCCGAGGGGGCTGGGGCGCGGGGTGGCTGCCACATCCCCTCAACCAGCACCCAAATGTTGCTAGCCTGCTGTGGGACCCCGTCCCTGCGGTGCAGGCAGGTTGCAGGCAGCGAGGGGATGCCAACGGTGGCAAAGGGCTGGGCTTTGCCAGTTCCTGCGCCCCGGCTCATGCATGCAGGGACTCCTGCGCCTGTTTTCACCCCAAAATCTGCCCTTTTGCAGCACGTGCCTGGCTGGTTTGGGCCACATGGTGGTTTCCCGAGGGAGGCAAAAGAGGAGGAGGTCTTTTTCTGGGTGCTTTGTCAGTCTCCTCCAGGCCCAGGGCTGCGCTCGGAGCCGGCCGGGGTGCGGGGAGCAGGAGGGGTGCAAGGAGCCGCGCTTACAGTGCCAGCACATCCCCCGGGGTGCATTTTTTCAGCAGTGCACGATGGGCTGACACCATCATCAGCCCCAAAATACATCCCTGTGTGCAAATGTATATATGTATCTCTATCCGAATGATGTCAGTTAGATTGCTATCGCGTTGACTCACCGCGACAGCTCACTTTGGCAACAACAGCAGCAAAGGGCAGGGAGGAAAGGCGAGGCCGGAGGCAGGCGAGCCCCGACCACAGCGCTTCACCCATGTGGGGGGCAGACCCCTGGCCGCAGGGCTCGCGGGGTTAACAAGGAGAAGCAGCAAAGCCCAGGGCATGGTTCCTCGGCTGGCACAGCAGCTCAGCTTTGCTTTTCCACCCCAAAGGAGCCCTGTGCATCCCAAACTCCCGCGGGAAAGCTGGGGCGAGCACCATGCTCCCGCCTGCTCGGCGCTCGGCAGCCGTGGCAGCTCCTTTTACGGGCAAGGCTTGTGGCTGACGCGGGCTGCGGCACGGCGATGATTTACTCCTGCTTTGCAGAAGCCCGGGCGGCACAAGCGGCGGGTGACACCCTGTCAAACACATCTGCCGGGGAGATTAAACAGAGCACCCACAGGGACCAGACCGGCCAGGAGGCCACTTTAAATATCCCCGCCACATTCCCGGGCGCTACAGTAATAATGTAGGCTTTGCCGAGCCCCTAGGCTTTGCCGAGCCCTGCGCTGGGGCTGCTGGCTCGGCATCGGTGGTTCCCCAGGTGCTGGGGGTCCTGCGTGGGCTTCCCAAGGGTTGATGTCCACCAAGATGTGGCATGCCGCGAACCGGCAGCCGCCCTGGCCCCCCAGCTCCTAAACCATCTCATCTTTCCTTCCCTCCTGCAGGCTGCCCTACGAGGTGGACCCCATCACGGTCTTCGCCTCCTTGTCACCGGAGGGGCTGCTGATCATCGAGGCGCCCCAGATCCCCCCCTACCAGCAGTATGGCGAGGGCGGCTGCAGCAGCGAGATCCCCGTCGAGAGCCAAGAGGCCACCTGTGCCTGACCGGCCACCCGCATCCCTCCCGCACCCCGGCGTCCCTCCTCTCCTCTCCCCTCTCCCCCCGGACCCCCGCTCCCCGGGCCCCTGCCGCGCGCCGTCCGGACAGCCTCCGGCAAGGGTGATGGGTGCTGCTCACAGGGACGGCAGCACCCGCCACCCCATGGGGGGACCAGCTGAGAGCCAGGGCACGCATGCCGGGTGCCAGGCCACCGTCCCCGAGGGCTTGTAGCAGTCTGGGGTGCCGGTAGAGATTTTGTGCCCATGGGGCCGAGCAGAACGGATGTCCTCATTACAGTTATTTTTTGCTCTGAGTCGTTCGGATGGGATATTTATAACAATAGCAAAAAAGGGCCCTTTTTTCTCTAAAATTGATGTGGAATCCTGTAGCCCTGTGTCTTCTCCTCCTTCATGGGTTGGTTTTTTTTTTAAACTACATCTCTGTAAAGGATGCGCGTCTGGCAGCAGAGCTTGACGGCACAGCCTCCGTCCTGAGAAACACAAACCGTCTGTGTGTTTTGAACATTGGTTTTGGTTTTTGTTTTTTTTTTCCAAAGAGAATTTGTGCTTTTACTTGTCAAACCTGTGGAATAAAACCCAGTCGATGTTCTTAGCCTCCGCTTGTCTCCGCTGAGCCCAGCGGGGCGGGCGCAGGGCTGCGGGAGGGCGGCGGGGAGGAGTGGGGATGCCACCGTGTGCCATCTCCTAGCCCAGCACGGGGTCCTCCCCATGGGGGGAAGGAGAAGAGAGACGTGTGGGGATGGTCGCACTGATGGGCAGCTGAAACATTTGCTCGAGCCTTTTGTGCAGCCCGTGAATGCCGAATCCTTGCTAACACTGTGCCAGGGAGACACCAAGCCCGGCGAGGCCCACGGACTCATCCTTTCCTTACCCTCTTGAGGGGCTGCAAATATTTTTCCTGCTTGGGGACGCTAAATCAGCCTCTGAGCTGGGAAAGTCAGGTTTGCACCATCCCCATTTCCATCTCACCCTGCCAGCTCCCCACCGGCAGCTCCGTGGGGAAGCACTTCCCAGCTAATTCCCCAGCGGAGGTACCAGCAAATGGTTTCTGCTGGGCTCTGGACACAACCTTAAAACCATTCCCGGGGGTGAAGCACCGGGTAAGATTTGTTACCATGCTGCAAGGCCCGGGGTCGGCAAAGCAGAGGTGCCGATGGGCAGCAGGAGTTTTTCCATCGATCTGTGCGGCACCTGGAGCGGGCAGCTGGTTTTCCATGTCACCAGGACCTCGGAGTTAAAAATACAACCTCACATGCTCCGCTCCAGCTCATTTGGGATGCGGTTACCAACAACAGCCCATCACGTGCTGTAAACCCCGGCCCCTGCGCTCAGGGGCCACGATGGTACCCGCACTCCAGGTCACAGAGGGGAACCTGGGGGCTCTCACCCTCGTTTTATGTATTATATTTAATTTTTAACAGTTGTTACGGAGCCTGGACCCCCAGGCGGTGCACAACACCCCCGTGCCTGTCAGCGGGAGCCAGCCCCGGGCTCAGCCATGGCAGCTCTGCCAGGCGCAGCTGTGAGCACAGCAATTTTTATGAATAAAATACAATCCTTGAAATGTAATACCGACACCAGGATGGAAAGCAAAAAAGTCATGAGTCACAGCTCCAGCCCTGTGTCCTCGCGCCGCTTGGCGCCGTCGTGCCCCGCGGGTGACACCTCTCCAGCACAAACTGTCCCTCCTCTTCCTCACCCCTTCACAGCATTAATTTTTTCAGTCCTTTGAAAAAACATCCCCAGCCCCAACCCCAATTTTGTCCCCAGCGCCCCATCCCCTCAATGCGCTTTTCATGGGAAGGACCCTGGGGGAAGCGCATGTGTCCCTGGGGTGACTCTCTGGCTCCAGCACCCCAGAGCGAGCGGCTGGATATGGCCCCACAGCAGCCCTGGCCGTGCACTCCACCAGTGGCAGGCGACGGCTCCCGGAGCGGGGCTGCAGGCGTGGGGACCAGCTGCAGCTCTGCAGGGGCTGCGGGGTGAATCAGCCGCAGCTGAGCCCCTCTCCCACCCCAGGGTATATGGGAGGTCCCCAGCTGCAGCTGTATTGCTGTGGGGGCACAGGGAGCCCGGGCTCAGCTCTGGGGCTGCAGCACAGGTAAGGGCTGCTGCAGTCAGATGATGGCTCCCAGCTTTTTCTCCTGCTGATCCTGCAGTTTGGGGAAAGATTTTTTTTTTTCTTTAATCATTTTCTGTTTTATTTGGTTCTGCTTTCTGATGAATTCCTTAATAATGTCTTATAAAGACTGTTGTAAGATGCATTAGCAATAATTTCTTAATGGCTGAGGTTGGCATCAGCAATTAGCACTAAGGACCTCTTACACAGGCAGCATGCTTGGACCTGTGCAGCAGTGGCTTCTCAAGCTGTTGGATTGTCTGGAGTATCCTATACTAATGAAATAATTGTAAGTGGAGATCTGCTTTTTTTTTTTTAAGTATGACCTGATTATTGAAGTGAAGGAGGATTGGAAAAAAGTAATCCCTACTGGTGTTTCTGCAAATGGAAAAACAAGTGGAAACACTCTGGGGCATTCATGCATCAGCATCTTCCCCCTGACTTGTTTCCCCCCCCCCACCCTGGGTGTGAGATAACGGCTTGAAGCCATTAGACCCGTAACACAACGCTGTAATGGCCACTCTGCCAATTACGTTACATTTCATGGGTTTATAGCAATTACACTGCATCGGGTGGTGTCATAACACATTATGGTTTATAGCTTAATATCGGCTCTCACGGAGATGCCGTGCGCAGGACGTGGCCACAGGCAAGCATCCTCCGGGCAGGGAGGAGCGGGCTTCCCGCGGGTGCGACCCCGGGGCTGGCTGAGGGGGCTCGGGAGGGACCGGGACCCGGGGCTGTGCATTTTGGGACCCCTCTCACAGGCGGGAGAGGGGCAGGATTGTGTTTATCAGCAATTCCCCTTGCACCAGGCCCCCCTGGTGGCACCTCTCTGCTGGCCCTGTCCCAAGCACTCCGGGAGACCAGTGCTCCCTTATTTCTCCTTCTGGAGCGGCGTTAGACTTATCAATATCCACATCATTCAAAGCTAAATGATTTTTAATGCTGAAGGAGGCAGAGGAGCCATCCTAATCAGGCCTTTCAAATCTTGGTCTTAGAGCAATGCTGATGCTGCTGGCATGGGCCTGTGCCCCTGGCCGGGGAGCGGAGAGGAGCAGATGTTCGAAAGGTTTTTTTTGTTTTGTATTTTTTTTTTCTTTCTAAGTCAGTTCTGATAAAATACACAATCACGTCCAAAAGGGGCTGGTGTAATTAAGCAGTCAGATGCTGGGCAATTTGCATTAGGCTCTTTGTTGCCACCAGTGCCAGCAGGTGCCTCGCTGCCCGGGCAGCAGCCGGAGCAAGGAACGGGAGGAGTGTGCCTGTTCCAGGGAGAGGAGATGCTGTGGCCAGGGCTGAGCTTGGAAATCCATCAGCTCTTGATGCATCTCAAGACCATGAGCTTGCAAGCTCAGCTCTAAGCCGCAGCAAAGCTCTGCTGAGCAGCTGGAGGGAAACGCAGGTGGTTCCTGCGGCTTTTTTGTTTTGGGAAAGATTTTTCTAGCTTCTTTGCAGTGGTGATCCCTCCTGCAGCACAAGCGGGTGATTCCGGGTGCTGCAGACATGGCGCTGGGATGGGCTGATGGGGAGGGCTCGGGGCTGGGAACGCAGGGCCAAGAGATAAGGGGGCTGCATCATGGGAAACTGGCCTCGGGGGACCTGAGGCAGGCGAAGGACGCGAAGAGATAAGGATAAGGTCACCCAAGCCCTGGGAGAGCTCGCCGGGCGGTTCAGTAGCAGGAGGCTGAATAAACCTCTCAGCCATGTCCTGCCGTCTGTCCTGAGCTGCTGAAGAAGCCGCAGGGGCTCTGTGGGCACCATCGGCCCTCGGCACGGGCCAGCGAGGCCAAGCAGTTTCTGAGCACTGGTTTGCACCCCGCTGGGGCCAGGCTGGGTGAGCACGTGGCTCCTCGCAGGGCACCGGCTCCTGGTCTGTCCCAGAGGATTTATTTTCCTAAAATGGAAGCAAAAGCTGAATTGATTTATTTTGGTTGGCAGCATGCAGAGCAGGGTAAATAATCCACAAGAAGCTCCAGAGCTGTCCAGATACACCAGGCATCTTCAGAGGCCCAGTTTCTTCTCCTAGAAGAACTGGGTTGGTCCTATTTTCTGACTCCCCAGCTCCCGTGGCAGGAGCCAGCTCATGCCTGGGCAAAGCCGTGACCAACGGCCAGCAGAGCAGCTCCCAGAGCTGTGTCCAGCTCTGCTCTGGGCAAGCATTGCTCTTGCATCCATGTGTGCCCGTGGCTCAGGACACGCTCGCTGGCTCGCCCCGCAGAGATGCACTTGGTGTCTCCCGCTTGCTCCCCGCACGCTGTTAGACGTGCTGCGGGGTCCTCGGGTGGCCACAGAGACCCTTTCGTTGGCTGATGGGGATGTTTGTGCTTTCCGACCACTCTGGGGGCCTCTCTGCACAGCTCTGAGCCGCACGTGTGCTAGGGGCGTGCAGGAGCTCAGCCTGTTTTCCTCCAGCATCCTCTCCCCTGGGCCTCCCCCGGTGACGTGCAGCTCTCCAGGCTCTCGCTTGGCAGCTGGTTCTTCTGTAGACTATCTATTTGGGTTTGCACAGGGGGGTTGATACAAAACTTCTGGGTGTTTTTCCTTCCCAGAACCCTCTGGAGCATCCCTGGCTCCCCAAGGATTTCTCACTTTTTTCTCACACGCACCTGGGCCCCTCCGGTACAAGCCAGTCCCTTTTTCCGCAGAGAGTATCCCGTCACCATCCAGGTGTTTGTCTGCTAAAGTCGAGGTCATTTGGGGTTTTTCATGTTTCTCTTTGGGAGTTTCTCTTCTGTCGGAGACTTTGATTTATTGCGGTTTTGGTCCCTACTTGCAAAGCAAATCTCATCTGCTTTATTTTGGACGTCTCCAAAGAGAAGACTTTGCCACACGATGGCTGTGGGGACAGAGAAGCAAAACCTTCCTCTTCCTCTAATGAAAGAACCCAATATCATAGAAATAACCCACCCTGGCTGATTAGACGGCCTTTCTGTCTCATTTAAATCAAA